ACAATTAAGTGTTCTGGAATTCCCATTCTTTGCAACGTTAACCGTAATTTGTTATGATCTACACAGTCGAGTGCCTTTGCATAGCCAATAAAAGGACAGGTGATTTAGGAAATAATATTGGAGCCATTATTCCCTGTCCTGGAATGTAACCCAGCTGGAGCTGGACTCACGAGGACTCACAAGGACACATCAACTGGGCCTTGAGGTATAAAGACAATAGCTAGGACAATCTTGGAAAACATCTTTTAGGGACACTTTCACATAAACAAATCATAAAACACAGCACAAATGACCCACATACTTTCCACTCTTACCTTTGTCTATTAGCATTTAGTGTATAGAAGATTTGTTGGACCAATGAAGACCCACCTGACTTGTCATTATTGAAACCTGTACCAGTGATTACTAAGACAGACAATTCAAAATGTAGAATCACAGAGATTTAGCAGTTTCTAGCCAATCTGTGAAAAGGTGAAGCTTTCAATGGTTTTGCCAATTTTGTAACGTTAATATATACTGATGATTCTGTAACATTCTTCGGACACAGGCAGACATGACTATAGCAGCATGCTTGTCCGTTTCCCACTTTTGCCTCTTTGAATATATGCCAAATAAAACTTTCTTTTTGCTTTACTAAACTTTGTGATGTTTTTACCCTACAACACAGGTAAACATCCCACTGTATTCTCTGCTTTCAGCCAGGATCCATCTGACATCAACAATGATATCCCTGGTTCCACATCCTCTTCTGAATACGGCTTGGAATTCTGGCAGTTCCCTGTTGATGTACTGCTGCAGCTGCTTTTGATGATCTTCAGGAAAATTTTACTTGTGTGTGACATTAATGATCTTGTTTGATAATTTTGGCATTCTGTTGGATCACCTTTCTTTGGAATAGGCATAAATGTGGATCTCTTCCAGTCGGTTGGCCAGGTAGCTGTCTTCCAAATTTCTTCACATAGACGAGTGAGCACTTCCAGTGCTGCATCCGTTTGTTGAAACATCTCAATTGGTAGTCAGTCCTGGAGTGTTGTTTTTTGCCAATGCTTTCAATGCAGCTTGGTCCTCTTCCTTCAGTACCATCAGTTCCTGATGATACGGTACCTCCTGAAATGGTTGGAAGTCAACTAATTCTTTTTGGTATAGTGGCTCTGTGTATTCCTTCCATCTTCTTTTGATGCTTCCTGCCTTATTTAATATCTTGCCCATTGAATCCTTCAATATTGCAACTTGAGACTTTAATTTTTTCTTCAGTTCTTTCAGTTTGAGAAATGCCCTGCGTGTTCTTCCCTTTTGGTTTTCTATCTCCAGCTCTTTGCACATGTCATTATAATACTTTACTTTGTCTTCCTGAGCCACCCTTTGAAATCTTCTGTTCAGCTCTTTTACTTCATCATTTCTTCCACTCACTTTAGCTACTCTACATTCAAGAGCAAGTTCCAGAGTCTCTTCTGACATCCATTTTGGTCTTTTCTTTCTTTCCTGTTTAATGACCTCTTGCTTTTCTTCATGTATGATATCCTTGATGTCATCCCACAACTTGTCTTGTCTTCAGTCATTAGTGTTCAGCGCATGAAATCTACTCTTGTGATGGTCTCTAAATGCAGGTGGGATATACTCAAGGTCGTACTTTGGCTCTGGTGGATTTGTTCTAATTTTCCTCAGCTTCAACTTGAACTTGCATAGGAACAACTGATGATCTGTTCCACAGTCAGCTCCTGGTCTTGTTCTGATGATTTTGAGCTTTTCCATCATCTCTTTCCACACATGTAGTCGATCTGATTCCTGTGTATTCCATCTGGTGACGTCCACGTGTATAGTCACTGTTAATGTTGTTGAGAAAACGTATTTACAATGAAGAAGTCATTGGTCTTGCAAAATTCTATCATGCAATCTGGCATCATTCCTATCACTAAGGCCATATTTTCCAACTACTGATCCTTCTTCTTTGTTTCCAACTTTCACATTCCAATCACCAGTAACTATCAATGCATCCTGATTGCATGTTCGATCAATTTCAGACTGCAGAAGTTGGTAAAAATCTTCAATTTCTTCATCTTTGGCCTTAATGGTTGATGCGTAAATTTGAATAATAGTTGTATTAACTGGTCTTCCTTGTTGGCTTCTGAAAATTATCCTATCACTGACAGCGTTGTACTTCAGGATAGATCTTCAAATGTTCTTTTTGATGATGAACGCAACACCATTCCTCTTGAAGTTGTCATTCCCAGCATAGTAGGCCACATATTATCATTGTCCAATTCATAATGGCCAGTACCAGTCCATTTCAGCTCACTAATGCCTAGGATATCGATGTTTGTGTGTTCCATTTCATTTTTGACGATTTCCAATTTTCCGAGATTCACACTTTGTACATTCCACATTCTGATTATTAATGGATGTTTGCAGCTGTTTCTTCTCATTTTCAGTCATGCCACAACAGCAAACGAAGGTCCCAAAAGTTTGACTGCATCCACATCATTAAGGTTGACTCTACATTGAGGAGGCAGCTCTTTCCAGTTATCTTTTTACTGCCTTCCAACTTGAGGGGCTCATCTTCCAGCACTGTATCAGACAGTGTTCCACTGCTATTCATAAGGTTTTCATTGGCTAATTCTTTTCAGAAGTAGACTGCAAGTTCCTTCTCCTAGTCTGTCTTAGTCTGGAAGCTCAGCTGAAACCTGTCCACCATGGGCGACCCTGCCGGTATTTGAATACTGGTGGCATAGCTTCCAGCATCACAGCAACACGCAGGCCCCCACAGTACGACAAACTGACAGACATGTGAGGGCATTTCTTGTTTACTGTAGGTTTTCCCACTAGAATATAAGCTCCATGAGGCTGAGACTTTACCTAATTTGTTCTCTGATATATTTATTTCATGACCCTAAATCAATGCCGAGCACATTAAGACTCAATGAATATTTGTGAAGCAAATTAATATATTGAATTTATTTTCCAAACACATATACATTTAATCTGTACCACTACAGTTCTAAGCACTTTAAAAAAATTTCGTCTTCCTAAGAAAACTACTGGATCCCTGGTGGTGCAGTAGTTAAGAACTCGTCTACTAACTAAAAGGTTGGCAGTTTGAATCCACCAGCTGCTCTTTGGAAACCCTATGGGGCAGTTCTACTCTGTCCTATAGGGTCATTATGAGTCAGAATCAACTTCACGGCAACAGGTTTGTTTTTTAAGAACCCTACTAGGTGGTTCTATTATTCTCTCCATTTTTTATCAATAAAGAAACTGAGACATAGAAAGGCTAAGTAACCTCAATCAAGTCACAAAGCCAGGAAGTGGTGGATCTGGAATTCAAACCCAGCGGCCTGGATCCCAAAGACATACTCTTAATCACTACGTTACCTTTTCTTTTAACAAAAAGAATCATCCTCTACGCTTTTATTACCAAAGATCACGGATATCTCTTTATATCATTGTAGGAATATACCATATTTGATTTAATCAGTCCTGTACTGATGGACATATAGGTTCTTTTCAATTTTCATTATCCAAACAATGCTGCTATGAAATGGGTACTGCTGGGTAACCACATTTTCAGTCTTGAGAGATAATGCCAAATAACCCTCTTTGATCCATGTGGAATATATTTTTGTATAAAGTCCTTGAGATAAAAATCTAACTTTATTTTCTTCCAAATAATCGACTGTCCCTCCTTTTAGATTGATAGTATCTTGTTTTTCACCTTCTTTAAACTCTTTATGGAATAAAACCAAAAAAAAAAACACCGTTGCTGTCCAGTCAAGCCTGACATTTGGCGACCCCATGTGTTAGAGTAGAACTGCTCCATAGGGGTTTCTTGGCTGAAATCTTTGCAGAAGCAGGTCACCAGCCCTTTCTTCCACGGTGCTGCTGGGTGGGTTCAAACCTCCAACCTTTAGGTTAGTAGTCTAGTGGAAACAGTTTGCACCACCGAGGGAGCTTTATGGAATAAAGTGGCATTTACATATGAAAGCAAAGTCATTCATTTAACATTTACAAAGCGCTGAATATGAGACAGGGCATCACTCCAGGGATCTTTTTCCAGGAAGATTCGGATCCTCACAAGACAAGATGTCTAATGAATCAAAGAGGTAGCACAAGAGTCTTCAATACCCCTAAGAATAAATCCGGAGCTAGAAGACTAGGGGCTCCAGGAAGACAGAGTTTATGCAAAGGTAGTGGTTGAGAGAAGAGATGCTAGTGTTTGGTAACCACTAGTAGTTTTGAGTGCCCTGAAAGTGAAATAGATCGCATATACCGCAAGCAACGGGGATACTGAGGAGCTTAATACTAAAGGGAAGAGGACTAGAAAGGCCTGGCTTCAGAGTGGGAAATGGATTGGGGGAGGGATGGAGTGAAAGCAGGAAGACTAATTAGAGCCTATTTTAGCAGTCCCTGCAACAGACAAGTTGACTAAACCCAGGGCGGATAGAACTGAACCAACTGGAAAGGTCTCTTAGAAGGTAGAAGTGACAGAAGACAGGTGTGAGGCAGTACAAAGCAAGGATGAGATCCAAGTTTCTGTCCTGAGCTCTCACTGAGATGATAAATACGATGGGAACAGAACTGGAGAAAGATGGGGAGCTCGATTTCGGACTAAGCCTGAGGTGCCCGCAGGGCATTCAGGGAGAGCTCTTCCAGGAGGCAGGTCTGGAATTAGGGGGCTGAGCTGAAGATACCTGGGTGTCATCACCATAGATGGGGCAGATGACGATGCCTAAGGACAGGCTGTGCAGCGAGGTATTGAGTGACGCAAAAGAAACTTGTTTTCCGCGACTTGCTTTCCCCGAGAAGATAACCTCAACGCATGACCTCCTCTTCACGCCCCGCAACACACCCTGACGCCCACGTACAGGGCGCTGCGCATGACCGAGCGCGTTCCTTTAGGCGCCTCGCTCGCCAGGCATGCTGGGAGCGGAAGCCGGCTCCAAGCGCCGAGCATGTCGGGAGCTGTAGTTTTAGACAGGCCCGGCCAAGTAGGTCCAGGATTCCTCTCAAGTTGTGGCGCTGGATCCCTTGAAGGGCAGGTCCAGAAAGCGGTGATGCTCGCGGGGCACGGTGCCCCTCCGGCGGCGGCACAGGGCGCCCCGGGCCGCGTCCCCTCTCCGAAGAGCGTGACACTTCCAGGCCTCCACGATCTGCTCCACCTGCAGGGGAAGCCAGTCACCGCGGAGCCGGGCAGTGGCCCCTCTCCCCGCAGACCGTGGGCCGTGCCGTGCCCCCCACGCCCTTCCCCAACGCTGCTGAGTGGATCTGAGCCTGGTTCCTCGCTCCGCACCGGGATGAGCGGCTCCCGCCGGTTCTGCTCTTCCAGGGCGCTCAGCTCCGCCGGGGCCAGCAAAGCCAGTCTCAGCTCTCGCACCACCGGGGCCGCTACCTCAGCCACCGGCCGCTCCAACACCGCCTGTGAACGACAACCCTGAGTCCGGGCGGGGTCATCTGCCCCGCCGCCCCCTCGCTGGATTTCTGCCGCCTGCGCCTCCTTCAGGGCCCTCCTGCGTTCCCCCAGCCCCCACTCACAGCGCCCACGCGCGCCCAGCTCCGGGCCGCCCGGATTAGCTCAGCCTCGTCCACGCATAGCTTGTCGCTGCGCAGCAGGGGCAGCAGAGCGGCCGCTGACAGCTCTAGGAAGCCGCGGGTCCGAAGCACCTCCTGCAGGCCGGCATATGGGTCAGGGAGGAGAATGGGGTGTATGATGCTGGAAGTATGAAGAGGGGAGCAGTACCTGGCTGTGGGTCTCTATGAAGGTCATGCAGCGTTCCTGCAGCGGCCCCAGGCCAAAGGTTACGGCCACCTGGGAGCAGAACAAGGGAGGTCAAGTTGGAGACTGGAGAGGCTATTTAGCTTAGCCCTACACACTGGGAACTACCGCGGCAAGCCTGAGCCTAACCCAGATGGGGGACAGGGAGGCTGACAGGGCCATGGCCTCCCAGACTTAGTGAAGGCGTCAGTTTGCTCATGCAGATGCACTTACCCAACAACCTGCCCTTCACTTCTTCAAGAAGCCATGCATTGTCCTTCAAACCCCACCCTGGGGCCTATGCTTGGTTTCCAAACCCCACACTGTTCTTCACCTCCCCCTCACAAGTCCAGCTGAGAACCACTTCCCAGCCCTGACAGAGAAAAGGCCAGCAAAGACTTCCATTCCCTTAAACTGCTCCTGCACCTGATCCTGTTGATGTACCCAGGGTCCCACAGGTCTGGGCACAGTTCATCCCATAAATATCCTTGGAGCACTCCTGACCCCTGTGTGTCAAGGTCGTGTTAGGCCAGACAGGAGGTACAGGCTCCTGGCACCTTAGGAGCCTAGTTCACATGCTGAAAGCCAGACTCCTGAGCTTGGGGAACTCAGCAGGAAGAGACCTGGGTTTCTCCTCCCTGGCCTATCCAACAACACCCACCTGCAGAGCCTCGCAAACCAGTTCCGCGTCCAGCACCTTCACCACAAACTCTAGGCACAGCTGGGAATAGAAGTGGATGTGTGTTGTGTGAGGCGTCCCTGCTCAAGACCCCAGCCGCACCCCAGAAGCAGTGAGCAGGCTTGGAGCAGTGTCACCCAGAATCCCAGCAGCCCCAGGCCCATCCTGACCTCCCAGGCCAGGGGAGGCAGGGAATTGGCAGGGCCTGAGACTTGGCAAAGCCTGGAGGGACTGAGGACTAATGAGATCAAAACCAGCAGGACTCCTTCTAGGAGCACATTCTCCACTAATCAGATCAGATAGGAGCTGTGTAAAAATTCCGCTTTCCCCTTCTCTCAGGACGCTTATTTTCTTCCATCTGCTACCTTCTGACTCAAGGACATTTCTGTCTTAGCCAACAACTTGAGTTTCATTCATGACATCTCCCTCTCACCCTCACATCCAGGAAAGCACTAGGTCATGCCAGTTCTATCTCTTTCCTCCAAGCCATCCACCTCTCCCTTGGGTTTCCACTGCTACCCCCACTCCAGCCACATCATTCCCTGACTTGACTGCTGCATAAACTCCTGACTGGCGTGGTGAGCCCTTCCCATCTCTCCCGGTTCGTTCTCCCCTTCATTTCCAAATCTTCACTCCCTCTCTTGAATCCTTAAATAAATCTCACTGTTCTCTGGGCAAAAAAGTCCAAACTCTTAGGGGTTTAGAAGATCCTGCATGAACTGGTCCCTGCTACCCTCTCCAGTCTCATTTGTCCCTCTCCTCCTCTCATACTCCTATTCCAGTTACACTAAACATCTCACTAGCTCCTTTTGTGCCTCTGTGACTAGAATGCTATCTTCCCACTCCCTCTTAGAGCAAACTCCTACTCATTCTACCAGATTCAACACAAATGTTTCGCCCTCCTCTCTGGTGGCAGGACTGGTGAGACCCTCCATGCAGTTTCAGCACTGTTTACCCTCATCTATCACATGTCTCCTGTCACTGGGTTGTATTTCCATGTGTCTATCCCCTCTCTAGAGAACAGGGACCAAGGCTGACTTATCCTTGTATCTGCAGCACCACACATAAATACCCTATATACCTGCTCAGCATACACAGGGCACACACATGCCCTAGTTACAAAGAGAGAAACTCATACTTCTCTCTGCACTGGCACATGTTCCTCTCCAGGCCAGGGTGTGTGTGAGGCAGAGTGGGAGGTGAACCCATGAGAGGCAAGGGAAACGAGAGGAACCTGGCACAAAAACCCACCTCTCGCAGTTCCTCCAGCCCATACTCCACAGCCGCCGTCAGCACTTCCAGCACCTGCAGAGTGGGTGGTTGGAGAGCAAAAGGGAGTTTCGCCTGCCCCTCAGTGCACACTTGATGGACAAATTCTCCTGCCTCTTGCACCCCCAGCCTTTCCCACCCAGACCCCTGCTGATTGGGCTCACAGACTGGTAGTGCAGCTTGACGCTGTTGGTGTACAGGAACTCCAGCACTGCCAGGAAGGCCTCGGCTGGCACAGTGCTCAGCACCACGGGGCTAGGCACCCCGGAGCCCGGCTCCAAGCCCAGAAGTCGCTGGAAGAAGTTGCATCTACAGGCCAACAGGCACCGATGGGCAAATACCTCCCGCTGTTCTTGACCAACCACAAAGCGAACATCACTGTGGGAGAGAGGGGCAGAGAGCCAGAGGAGAAGAGAGCAGAGTCTAGGATGTGACTTGGGCTTTGTCTTTGCCCACTTTGGGCCTCAGTTTCTTTATCTTTAATAGAAGAGACTGGGTTTAGTCGTCCAGCAGAAGGTCTGGAACACACAGACTTGGGTTTTTATCCCAGCTCCACACTATGGTACTTCAGGCAAGTGACTTCCTATCTTTGAATCTTAGGTTTCTCACCCATAAAATGGGATGGTAATCCCAAACCCTCAGGTCTTGGAGGGGGTGGCTGTGCTTAATCACTGAGGGGTCACCAGAGCTGCTGCAAGCAGGAAAATCAGATTGATCCCACTTGGCCCTCTCTTCCCCAGCCTGAGTCTTGGGGGAAGGGAGGCGCCTTTTGGCTCCTCCTCCACTAGCTGCAAACTCAGCTTTTTCAGCCTTCCTCCAGGAAGAAGGGCATGGGGGCGGGAGGTGGGAGTGCAGAGTGTGCATTGGCTGCCAGCAGACACCACAGTGATGCACCATTATGAGGCCAGACCACATTTTCCATCTTCATGATCACTTCCGGTCCCAGCCTCTGGGTCTCCAAGCAGGGTAGGGGGTAGCAGCAGGAGATGAAGTTTAGGCTTCCTGGAGCCTCCTAGCTCCGGGTCCAAGGACTGGGGTTCCTACTACTCAGGCCAGATTGCCATCCCCGAAGAAGCGGGGCTATGGGAGGCCTCAGCCCTTGGGGAAGAGCCCAGCTCTGAGGCAGTGGGGACAGACAGCTGCCTTTTAGTTCCCCTGACCAGCCTGCCCCCTAGTTTCAACACCACTAGCATCCTGGGCAAGCTGTGAGGCCTCCTCAGCATACACAGGGCACACAACTATCCTTGAATTACTTCCTGTCTGGGACTCTGGCACAGTCCCTTGACTTTTGTTCCTCTTGTGAATCCCCACAGTAGGGTCATCTGCTCTTCTGCCTCCCCAGGCAGGGAAGCCCCAATACCAAGCTGAGTATAGAGAATCAAGTCACATTCCATTTCTCAGGAGTCAGGGAACAGAGGACTCTTTTTTTCTTCTGCTGAGAACATAAGACCCAGAAAAGGAAGGGCTTTGCTGAGGTTTGCACGGCAGCTCTGGGCTCCAGGTCCCACTGCCCTCCACCTCTGGCTCTCAGGATGTCATGAACACTGAGTGACCAGGAGCCGCCCTCAGCACTTGACTTCCCCATAGATTGAGTGCACCAAGAAGCAGGGTCAAGTCCCAATTCCCCACCTCTTCTGCACCCAGGGCTTTGTCACAGTCGTGGGGCCCAGCAGAGACAGCTAGGGAAAACCCGCAGACAGGGCCCACCCCCTCACCTGTATCGAGGGTTGTTGATGAGGCTTCGGAGTGCTGTGGAAAAGGGCTCAGCCTCCCCGTGCACAACCAATCCTGGGGTCTCCATGGGTGGGGTGGGGTGGGGGAAGTAAGTGGAGGGAGTGGCCCAGGAGGCCTGTTGTCTGTTGGTCTGTGAGAGGCAGGAGGTGGGAAGAAGCAGGAGCCTTGGCCAGGCTCTAGAGCTGGTGAGGAGACTGGAAAGGCCTGAGAAGGAGGGTCAGGAGCTTGGAAGCCCAGTTTGCTGAGAAGTTAAAATTCAGGGACAGGGCCTGGAGAGGCCCAGGTTCCTGAAGAAGACATCAGAGGCCGATAGAGGAGGCCACAGGCTTGGGGATGGGACAGATACAGGGAGGGGCCCAGGAAAGGCTGAGGCAGGAACAGCCAGTGGTCGGTGAGAAGAGGCTGGCAGCGGTTGAGGCCTCGGCTGGGAGCCTGGCCAGGCAGCAGCTGGGGTGGGAAGCCTATGGGTTTCCATGGAAACTGGAGCCCAGCCTAAGAGGAGGGCCTGCCCATCTCCCGAAGGCCTAGGCAAAACCTCAGCCCTCAGAGGGGCCCTAAGTGGAGTCAGAGGGTCCTAGCACCCTGGCGCCTGCCTGCCCTGGGTTCAGAGAGTACAAACTCCCTGCCTCTCCTCCCCGATATGCAGAGAGTCAGATCAGGTTACCCAGGCCTGGGAAATCCCCCTCAACTGGGAAACTCCTTGCCCTCATGGGATGGCTTTCAGGGCCCAAACCTGGGTTCTCTGGGAGGGGGCAGTCCCGTCGCTCCCAGAAGGGGGTCAGGTGAGGAGGCATCAGCTCTGACAGAGGCGTCACATCCTCTGGCATCCCTGAAATGCAACCGCCCTGTGTGCATGGGGCAGAGTGGGGGGGAGGGGTGGGGGCGGGAATGGGCACTGGGACACAGAAGAGGTGTGGCCAGCTGGGGACAAGCCCTAGGGCACTCGGGTCAGCAAAGGTCAAGAGGCCTGAGTCAGGTCACCTCCAAGTCACTGCTTCCTCAGCCCAGGCTCCCACCATCTGAGCCACTGGGCCTCCCCTCCCTGGCACACAGCTCTGGACTGAGGAAGTCATCCAAGCCCCACCCTAGCTCTGGCCCAGAGGGGAAATGTTTGTCCTTGTTGATGCTGATGAGGAGATGATAGAGCCCTGACGTGCTCCTTCCTGTGGGCCCAGATCCCAGATTCCCAAGCAGCCACCCCCACAACCTCAAGGTCTTCCCAGATCCCAGCCTCTGCGACTTGTTCACAAGAGTCAAGAGCCAGTTTTCAAGCCATTTCACAAGAGGAAAAACGGGACAGTTGCTCAACGGCCCTGGAGCACGGGAACACCTTTCTGGCCAGAGGCCCCCTCTCCTCTCTGCAACATCTCCCTCACCTCTACCCTGCCCCTCGGTCATCCTCATTTTGGTAGTTCACCCCTGAGCTCCAAGCCCCTGTTGCTACCCTCTTCCCTGATGACTCAGGGCACCACAGGCGCCTCACACTCAGCATGCGCTCATAATGGTAACACTCAGAAAGTTACGCCAGAGCCAGGACTGGAGGGAGGGAAGAAGAGAGGGAGGAGTGCTTGCCCCAGCAACCCATAGCAACCCCACAACAAGGTGAGGGCCCCTTCCCCCGCTGCCTCGCAGTCAGACCAGCTGGGCCAGGGCTGTGGAGCCAGGAAGAGAGCTCAGAGGCCAAAGTCTTGCAGGTGACTCAGGTGCCTGCGGGAGTTTCAGAAGAAGAGGGTGGCCATCCTAGAACTGATTCTGGAGGAGGTTGGGCCAGAGGAAGCCAAAGCAGAGGGCAAAAGGAGCTTCTAAGTCACCTGCCCCAGCCTCAGCCACTTGTGGGGGAGATCCTTTGCCAGCCACCCTAGGAACAGGTAGGGGTAGAAGATAACTGGATTCAATACCCTGGGAACAAAAGGATCTGTGGGGTTGAAGGAGCTGGGTCTGTCCGTCCCTCCTCCTTGTTAGGGATTACAGGCACAGGCCAGATATATCTCCCCCTTCTGCTGGTGAAGCCAGGAGGGAGAAAGAAAATATCAAGAGCTCACCTAGCTAACTTCCATAGTGCCCAAGGGAAAGTGGAGCTCAGAGAAGCAAGGACTTGCTCAAGATCATTGTCTGAGCAGCACACCTTCCCCCTGCATATGTCCCTAACAGCCTTTAACCTTCTAAGCAGGGGGATTCTAAGCACCAAGGAATCCACACGGCCCTGGACTATTTGATCCGGTTGTTCCAAAAACACAGGTAAGAAAGGGGTACCCATTGCCCATTGCCATCAAGTGGATTCCAACTTGTGCAACCCTACAAGACAGTGTACAACTGCCCATGGGGTTTCCAAGGCTGTAATCTTTACGGAAGCAGATTGCCACATCTTTCCCCTACAGAGCAGCTGGTGGGTTTGAACTAAAAACCTTTTGGTTAGCAGCCAAGCATTTAACCACTACAGCACCTGGGATCCTTAAAAAAGAGGTAGGGGCTAAAAATCCTTTACATAACTGAGTCAGAGCCCAGGTGGTGTGCGAAGATGGCCAGTGAAGGCCATCCTGCCTAAGTATGGGTCTTCCAGTTGGCAGGTCCATGGCTGGCAGGCCTCTGCCTCCCAGACTTCAGGAGGAGGAGAAGACTGCCAAAGACTCTGGGCCAAAACTACCATCGGTGAGGCCCCTAGGCCGCCTGCCTAGCATCGATGAGGCTCGACCCACAGGTCCTGGTCTGGGCCTGGCCTCCCGTCGTGGCTCCATGGGCCTGGCCACATCCTTGTCACGCTGCAACTCGCTGGTGGGGCCAGGCGCAGGCCCTGGGGGTCGGCAACCATCCCTGGGCCCCGTGCCCCCTCTAGGCTCCCGGGTCAGCTTCTCAGGGTTGCCCCTGGTTTCTGTGCACCGGGTGGCACCCTCGTACCGCACAGAACCCTCGCCCGGGGAGCGCTGGCAGGCTGCGCAGGCTCAAAGTGCTCTGGAGGCGGCGCTGGCCGTGGCGCTGCACAACATGTGCTACTCAGGCTCGGAGGCCGGGCCGCTAGCGCTGGAGCTCTGTGAGCAGGTGCGCCTGCGCCTGCGCGAGTTCAGCCCTCCACGCTACAAGCTAGTGTGCTGCGTCGTGCTGGGGTCGCGCGCCGGCCAGGACGTGCGCGTGGTGAGCCGAGCACTGTGGGACACGGCGTGCGACGGGCTGGCCTCGGCCACCTTTACCAACGCCTCGCTCTTCGCCGTGGCGACGGTCCACGGGCTCTATTGCGAGTGAGGAGGTCTCCAGTTTCTGCAAAACGGTTTATTTTCCCAGGAGGAGGCCAATAAATAAATGTCTGTTAATAAATAAAAGTGGTCCATAAATAACGCCCCCTAGCTGGGGGCTAAGGCTCAGGCTTATCTTGGAGAAGGGATAGGTGGCAGCGAGAACAGGCAGCCACCAACCCCAGTAAAGCTGGTCCCTGATTCCCTGGGGTATTCAGCCCAGAGCCCCCATTGAGGCACCAAAGGGAGGGCGAGGGCCACAAAGGCAAGGGTCCAGGCCTCAGAGACACAGGCCTCGGGCCTAAGGGCTTGGGTCAAGGCCTGCTCTGCAGGTTGGACCGTAGGCAGGGCTGCGGTCCCGGAGCAGACGCAGGGCATAGCAGAGCCGCTGCCGTAGGTCTGGGGAGCAGCCGAGCTGCCGAAGGTGGGAAGCAAGGTAAGTACAAGCACGGCGATTGCGGGCCACGAAAGTCACAAGGAGAGGCTCCCAGCCGCTGAGGATCAGCTTGGTGTGGTCCCCATAGAAGTTCACCTGTGCACAGGAGGGCAGCATGATCAGGGCCTCAGGTCCAGGACCAGTCTCTTTCCCAGCACCCTGGGCCTCCCAGACCTTCCCCCAACCCCAGGACCAGCTCTTACCTGGACAGTGCCATCACTAAACAGCATGAGTAGGGCCTGATCAGTCTTGACCCACTGCAGCAGCAACGGGGGGGCAGGCACCTCCACCTCTTCCACACTGGGCAGATCTCCACCCTGGGGGCAGGAGCAGGTCACCAGTCTGACATGAATCAGGTTCCCTCCCCACTGATGCCTCCCTTAGAGGTTCAGCCTCTAGCTTTGAGTGTATCTCCCTACCACCTAAAGGGGAATGGGAAGGGATTAGAATGTGTAAACCCTCCATGTGCCTCACCGCAACTCACACACCTTCATGAGGTGCTGTTCCATATAGGTGGCAAAATACCGCAGGACGCCCAGCTGAGGCTGCAGGGCCCGGGGTACAGCGCCCACAGAGAAGGAGAAGTGCTTTGTGCTGGTAGGGTTGTACTGCACAGTCCTAGGGGTGGGGGACAGAGGTCAGAGGAAGCCCTGCCCCAACGCACCTTCCCTGAGAGACCGCAAGCCCCTGAGCCCAGAAGCATACACCATGGCACAGCCCTTCTGGGTACAAGGCACACCATGACAGCACTTACTTTCTATTGGCCGACAGGGCCATGTGTGTGCCATCATTGAAGAGCACAGCCACACGGCGGCTGGACAGTTGATACCCAAAGCCAAACTTGTTGGAGTAGTCAACCCACTTGCTGACCCACACCAGAGGCTCTGGCTGTGCCAGGGGGGCTGGGTTCTGTTCCGCTGTCATGGGAGGGGAGGCAGTGAGGACCTGTCCCTGGCCTGCCAGCCAAAGAATTCCCACCATCATTCCCACATACTGGACCCCAGCCTTACCTGGAGGCATGAAAGCCACGCAGTTTCTCAGAGCACAGAGGGCTGACTCCACCACTGTGGCCACAGTCAGACCTTCTTCAAACCCTGAAGGAAACAGAGCACTGGGAATTAAGCATTAGTCCCTCAGGACCCAGGGCATGTCCCTCTGCCCACTTCCTTCATCTGGGCCTGGGTCTCAGCCCCAGCAATCTTTAGCACCTCTCACCCTCCCTGGCTCCTCACCATCTCCACTGCTCGCCAGTGTTCCCCGGGGTGAGCTGTCTTCAGGTGCTGTCTCTACCAGGGTGACAGGGGCTGGACCAGAAGCTGCTGGAGCCTGGAGTGTTGGGTAGGGGAAGGGAGTACGATAAGCCTTGAAATACAGATCCTTGGGAGCCCATGGCCCAGCCCTGTCCTGGCTCCCAGGACACCCCAGGTCAGCCTCGCCTGGCTAATGAGACACAGCCAATTAGGCCACCACGAGACTGGATGCTTCACCAGCCTTTTTTATCCTGGGCTTCCCGCAGCTACAAGGGCAAGGTGAGTCAAGGGACATTGCCCACGTGAGCACCTCACCTTGGGCCTGGCATCCTGATGGCCAATGGATGTCCGCATGAGGCCGCTCACCAAACAGGAGACCTCATCCCGTTCCTCAGTATGGTTCTTACCTTGGGGGGCAGGGGGTTGGGGAGATATAGCCCTCAGTGTCTTGCTCTGCCCGGCACGCCTGCTTCCCACAGGGATGACACAGAGATAGGCATACCCAAGTGCTCATATATAACACATACTCTCCCCAGGATGTTCACAGGCACCCACACAACATATATAACAGCCCCACCCCCACTCTATACCCACAACCCACTAACACCCCAGACTCACTCTTGTTCTTCTTCCTGCCAAAGAGGCTCTTGGTAACTTTGGCAAAGAGACTCCTGGCCGGATTGGGGGGTGTCAGGTCTGGGACTGTCATGCAGCTAGTGACAGGAAGCTGGTCTGGGGTGTAGCCCTGGGGAGGGAAGCCATGTGAGCAGAGAGGAGAGGCTCCAGGGGTCCTGTCACTTGCCCCTATTCAATCCCCTGAGGATAGGTAGACTTGACTTTGGTGTCTGGTGAGCCACAGACCTTGGTAAAGAAGTCATGGCGCAAAATCTGGTCGATCGAGGGGCGGTCTCGGGGCGAGGCCCGTAGGATGGCAGCCAGGAGCTGCCGGGCAGGCAGTGAGAGGCTAGCGGGCAGCTTGTAGTGAACCTGCTTGATGCAGCGGTATGTCTCCTTCAGGTCAGCTGTCTCAAAGGGGGGGCTCCCACACAGCAGTGTATACCTGTGGGGCAGGGGAAAGAGGTCAGGAGTAAAGTGGAGGGTATGTGTCACCCCTGCACTCACCTGTCTGCCTCTGTCCTAGGACTCACATGACACAGCCCAGCGACCACACATCTGCCTCGGGGCCGTGGCCCTGTCTCAGTAGCACTTCTGGAGCTACATAGTTGGGGGTGCCACAGATGGTCCTGAAAGGGGGCAAGGAGGAGGGGAAACAGGGGAAGGCTCAGCACCAGCTCTGCAGTCCCCCCATCCCTGCCCCCACTGTGAGTCCAGACAAAGCAGCTGCCTGTCACCAAAGGCCAGAGAGCTCCTGCTTGTCCTGGGACAATGGATGCCGGGTAAGGCAGCTGAGTCCCTGCCCACCCTTCCCGGCCCAGCTGCTCAGCTGCTCTGCAGAACAGGGGGAGCCCCTGACCTACAACGCAGCCCCCTCTCCAGGGTCAACAGACGGCCCATCACTGATTCCTCCTCCCCCTGCTGCCGTCTGTCAGGCACCCGTACAGGCTGTCACCTCCCACGGTCTATGTGACACACACACCAACACCAGCTGTCACATTCCCCCATAAACAGTCATCTGCCACACGTTATCTGTGTCACACACAGTCGTCGTGACCACATCAGGGTCTTCTTACACACCCATAGGGTGTCACATTCTGCCATTCCCATACACTGTCTCTCTCTCATACACACACACTGCCTGTGGCACCTTCCCATTGTCCACTCACAGGGTCAGCCAGACACCTCTGAGAATTCTTACACCTCCATCTGTCTCAGGAACTCAGAGTCACCCACCCCATCTGTGTCACACACCTGTAGGGCCCTCACCCCCACTGCCAGTCCCAGTAACCCAGGCTGTCACCTCCACCTTCATATGTAAACAGCCCATCACCCCCTTCCCATCTATCATACGCACACAACAGGCAGTCACCTTGCCTCCTACACGCACACACTCACTGTCACACACCCCATCTGTATCACATACAGACTGTGGCCACCTGTCTCAACACTCACTTCTTCCTCTGATCTGGGGGTTCCAACCGGGCTGCCAGGCCAAAATCTCCTACCTTCAACTCCATGTTCTCAGTGATGAAAAAATTTCCTGGACGGTGGAAGAGAGGTGTGTCAGACTCCTTCCTCCTTCCTCCTTCCCAACCCTCCCTACCCTCCTATCCTGCTGGCCCAGAAGTCTTACCCAGCTTGAGATCCCGGTGCAAGATGCCCCGCTGGTGCAGGTACTTGAGGCCAGAAAGGATCTGCCGCAGGTAGTAACGCACCTCTGGCTCCAACAGGGTGTGTCGGGCCTTCCAGATGTGGGCCAGGGACTGAGGAGAGCCACTGTCTCAGCCCCTGGCCCACCCTGCCAGACTCCCTGAGGAAGAGGCAGGGCCCCCAGCTTTGGGTCTTAAGACCCCTTTTCCTGACCCAGCTCCACCCGCATCACTGCCCCTCACCTTTCGGCTGCAGAGCTCCAGGAAAATGTATATGTTGTCATCATCCTCAAAGTGGTGCGAGAAACGCACGATATGGCGGTGCTGTAGATCTCGGTGCAGCTCAATCTCGTTTAGGATCTGCAATAGGGGCGGGGGGATTGTCATTCTTCAAGGGCCCCCGCGGTACTGTCTCCACCCTCCCACCACCATCCCGCGTTTGCCGGCCTAGACCCACCTTCTCGCGCTGATGCGACTTGGCGACGCGGCTCTGCGGGATGACTTTGACCGCGTAGGCGCTGCCAGTCTCTGTGTCAGTGGCCTCGTAGCAGCGAGCGAAGCCCCCCTACGAGGAGAGGGCATCAGACAGGGCGCTCACAGGGAGTCCGGGTCTGGCCCGCACACTTCCTGGAGTCGAGAACAAGCGCCCCCGCCCGGCCCGGCGCCGGAAAAAAGGCCGGCGGGGTCCCTCTCCCTGCCAGCATCACCTCCCGGGGCAGTCCCCGGCCCACCTTGCCCAACAAGCGGCCTTTGAAGTAGGTGCGGCCGCTTCGCGGGTCCGTGATGAGGCGCCCAGGGTCCGGCGCCGGTGCCCCGGCCAGCACCTCCAGCTCAGGTCCGGGAACCGCACTCCGAGGCGGCCCGGGCCCGGCGGGGGACGAGGGCGGGGCAGCCGCACGCGGGAAGGGACGCTGGGACAGGAAGCCGGCGGCGGGCTCCATGCGGCGGCGCGTCGCAGCGCGGGCCCAGCTTGGTCTCGGTCCCGCCAGGCCAGGGCCGCGCGTGGGCGCTGCCTGGATTCGCTACGCTGCACTCGCGCCCGAGGGAGCCCGGCGTTTTTATCAATGAACGCCTGCCCC